GGGGGGGGGGGGGGGTGCGGGGAGAGCAGCACGGAAGGGGAGCTGGACTGGAAGTTTTTCTGGAGCCATGTCCACGTTCTGGATGGCCCATTTGTTTTCTGGGTTTCTCACCTTCTCCATTCTGCTTTCTTTGGCTGTTTCCTTGAGAACTGGAGGAAGGAGAACTATCAAGTTGGCCGCTTGCTTTCATTTTGGTTTCTTGCTAAATCTGTAGAGAAATTTGTTCAGCAGCAGACAGGCATTTAGATCATTCTCTTTCTGTTTCAATCAAGGACATACCCTTCAGTCTCCTCTTTTGGGTTGAAGATACTCCTAAAATGTTCCTAAATCCAAAGAATAAAAGTGCTGGATTGAAAACACCCTGTTTAGAAGACTCAGAGAGAGGAAGGGGGATATATTCCCTTTCAGTAAGACAGTGGGAAAAATAGTTTTTGGATGTTAACAGACACACTGGATTCTCCGTGGCTTGACTTCCCAGTTCTGGTCCCTCCCATTGTATTTCTCCTTTCGGAACCCGGGTTTGCTACTCTCATCAAACCCACCACCAACAAATACATACGAAACACCTCCTGAGCAGCATCCTGAGCTAGTCACAGAGATGGGGTCCTTGCCCTGGTATAGTTTGGAAACTAATTAGAGAGGAAGAACTAAAAAAAAAAAAAAAAAAAGATGACTAACAAAGTTAAGCATCAGATCAATGGGACAGACCAGAAGGTTGGGAGAGTTCCAGTGACTGTCAGGGCTGGGAGTGGCAGGGAAGGCCTCTTTAAGGGAGAAGTGCATGAGTTTGGCCTTCTTACACGTCTGGAATGAGATGAGGAAGGCATGGAGTGCCTGAGTGGCTCAGTTGGTTAAGCATCAGACTCTTGATCTCAGCTCAGGTCTTAATCTCAGGGGCATGAGTTCAAGCCCCCCATTTGGGCTCCACACTGGACATGAAACCTACTTAAAAAAAATGAAGAAGGCCCAATGGGTAAGCAGCTTATATGGGAGGATAAACATATCCTGATCAGGAGGTATAAGGTTTAAAGATGAGGGGGATAGGCTTGTAGGGAGAATAACCCTATAACCATGGCTGAAGTTCATATATTCTGCACATACGTGACTTCCTGCTTTTTCTTTAGTTTTTAATTTACTCAACCATTCAACAAACATTTATTGAGTATTTATTCCGCTCAGTCAATAAACAGCTATTGAGCTCCTACTACATGACTGACACTGTGATGGTCACTATTCTTTCACTTGCTGGTCAAATAGAGAAATAACTTAGACCATTTCCTTAAATTTGAGAGGGGAGGCTAATCTCATTCAGTAGTCCAGCTTCCACAAGCTTGAGGGGTTTGTGGGGTGGCGATGAGGTATAGGCCCTACCCTCACTTACATAGTGACTTTTTACAAAGGATTTGATTTGTTTATTTGAGAGAGAGAGAGCACAGGGAGGGGGGCACAGGGAGAGAATCCCAAGCAGACTCCCCACTGACCACAGAGCCTGACCGTGAGCCAGAAGTCAGATGCTTAACCAACTAAGCCACCCAGAGGCCCCTTCATACTGACTTCTATTTGTGTAATACTTTAGTGCACTGACATCCATTATTTTATTGACAATCATTTGAGGGAGTCTCAACCGAGGGGGGGAAGGGGGATAGGTTAAAAAAAAAAAATCTTGATTTTTTTTTTTCAGATGTATGACTTGTCCAAAATCAAACAGTTCATAAGTAGGGGACCAGAATGGAGGTATCTTTCACACCCTACCAATGGCGCCAACCTGGCATCCTGGGAGCCTCAGAAAAAATACCGACTCTTGGCTCTGTCCTGGCACAGCCTGATACCTTAGGTCTGAGCAGGTCCAAGAATTTGTATTTTTTACAAGTTCCCCAGAGGACTCATGCGCATTTGGATTAGGGAACCACTAGAGTATAGTGGCAGGATCCAGAGGAAAGGGCATTTTAGCCACTTTTCCTCAGGTTTCACCAAACCTTTTCCTTGGCTACTCTGGGGTGGGTTCTGATTAATTTCCAAACCAACAACATCCCAACTCCCACCACTCACTCTTTTGCTTCCTAAAATTCACTGCAGGTTGAAGACTTCTGGAGGCCCAGAATGGTGCTGCCGAATTCACAGGGCCCCGCTTCCCATAGACCACAAAACCTAAATTCTGCGGCAGGGGAACCGTGAGATGCAAGGGAAGGGTCTGAAGAGGGGGTAGACCGTCTCATGAATAAAAACAGCTTGTATTCATTGAGTGTTAACTATGTGGCAGGCCCTCCCTTCATCCTCAACTCTATATGAAAAGCACTATTATCCTCCTGAAAACAGATTTAGAGCGAGAAGAATCATTTCTCCAAGGCACACAGTCAGTGCGACTCCAAGGCCGGTGCTAGCACGTACAACCTCGGGACGACAGCGTCTCCCCACCTCTCCCCCCAAACCGCTCATGTGTCCACGGCCTGAAGTTCGGGCGCCCTCCTGGCGGGGCTCAGATGCAGGGGCCCGCGCGCCCAGGGAGACCAGACTGCAGGAAAGCAGCCGCAGAGCGCCGCGCCGCTCAGTCCGCTCCCCCTTCTCGGGGGCCGCGGCCGGGAACTACAAGGCCCAGCAGGCAGCAGCAGGGGGAGGAGGAGGGGGTGGGACTAGCGCGGGTGCGAGTGAGAGAGCGAGAGCCCTCGCGCCTCGCCGGCGCACAGCGCTCGGAGCGCTCCTGCGGGCACTGGTGGGGCGGCCGGGGCAGCGGGCGGCGGCGAGCCGGAGCCCGAACTCTGGTCCAGCCTCAGCGCGCGGAGGAGCCCGGGCTGTGCCTGCAGCTGGGCGGCAACGTCCCGACTGGACTCAGACTCGGCTTAGCGCATTGCGGCGACCTCGCCTTCCCCGGCCGCGAGCGCGCGCCGCAGCTGGAAAAGCCGCGGAGACCGAGGACTTTTCGCCGGTCCTAGGGGCGCCCCGCAGGGCGCACCGTCCTAGTGCTGCAGTCCGGCACGCCGTGGCGCCGGGGTCCCCGCAGGGCGATGGAGCCCGGTCTGCGAGAAGCGTGAGGCGCCGCCGCCCGGTTCCGGAGAGGGGGCCCACAGGGTCTGGAGACCCCGGGCGGCGGACGGGAGCCCTCCCCCCCCCCGCCCCGCCTCCGGGGCACCAGCTTCGGCTCCATTGTTCCCGCCCGGGCTGGAGGCGCTGAGCACCGAGCGCCACCGGGAGTCGAGCGCCGGCCGCGGGGCTCTCGCGGCCCCGCCAGGACCCCAGCGGAGCTCGGGGGCGGCGGGCCGGAGCTGGGGACGCGGGCGCCCGCCCGCCCGCACACGCCACGGCGGACTCTCCAGAGGCGGAACCGCAGCGCCGAGTGAGGTAAGAGCCGCGGAGCCCGCAGATCCGGGGCGGGCTTGGCATCCCGAGCGGCCCCCGGCGCCGGAGCCTCCCGGCTGCGTGCTTCCCCCGCCGCAGCCCAGTCGGGTCCGGCGCCTCCCTCCACTCGTTACCCGCCCCCCTCCACCTCCCGATTCCCTCCCCAGAGCTTTGCGCCCCCCCTTTTGTCTCCCCTCCCAGCTCCCCGCTCGCGTCGCCTTCTGCGCCCCCTCCCCGCGCTCGTCCCGCCGCTCCTCCTGCCGCCCAACTTTTCCGCCAACTCGCGCCGGGGAGCTGGCGAGGCGGCGGCTCCGCGGTGAGTCCTGGGAGGGACAGGGCCGGGACGAAGGCGGCGGCGGCCCTCGGTTTTCTCGGACTTGGGGGGGTGGGAGTGGGCAGCGAGGTGGGGTTGTGTGTGTGTGTGTGTGTGTGTGTGTGTTGCATTCCAGTCCATCTTTTTTAGTCCGCTAGTGGGGACTCACCCCAATTCAGCAGGTAGCTTTGAGAACCCGGGGTATTTCTAAGTCCTTTTCCCCCTCCGGGAAAGTCTGGGGTCGAGGTTGGGGTGGGTGGATAGGGGCATGAAGAGGGAAAGCAGTGAAGGGGTAGGTTAGCTTCTCCTGGAATAGGTTTTAAGGAGGTGTCGTCACCAAATGGCCGAATCTGCTATACAGGAGAGCGAGAAAGGAATTCCCTTTTCCAGAGGGGGTTATCTTCTACTTAGTCGATCTCCGAAAGGGTCGGAAGTTTGTGGAAGGGAGGGCGCCCAGCGGGTGATGTTAAGCCCCATTATGGGGTCGGGGGGAGGGGAACGTTCAGTTCCAATCTGGTTCTAGGAGGTGGGGGAAGGGATGAGGGTTTTGCCCGGTGCGGTTCACTCGGCCGCGCTGCATGTTGCTTCTCTTTCTCAGACCCTCTGCCCACCCCGCTCCCGCCTCCCGTTATGTTTGGGGTTGGGAAAAGAGGAACCCTCGTTTGCAGAGGAATTTATTGACATTGTGGATGGAGTTCATTTAACACACATCCTATGAAGGCAGCCAGACACCTTCGGGCGGGGTGGAGGGGGTGGCGGTGGTGAGGCTAGCTTCTCCTTTCTGGGCCCAGAAGCTGTTGGCCCACCAAAAAAATTACTGCGGTGTCTTTCTCCCCCAACACTTTTTCCCCCCATTTTCCAGATGTAGCCGCCGCATCTGGTTCTGTTGCACGCCACACCGCAGCCACATTAACATCCCTTTCCCTCTCTCCCCCCTCACCCAAATTAAAACTGGGATTCTTTAACTTGTCCTTCCCACCTCCCTCTTTAACATTTTCCGAGACATGGAGATGAGGCGTTGGGATTTGGGGAGAAAAGAAAGTTACCCTGGATCCCAAGTTATTTAGGATCTGATGGTGGCAGTGCTTTCTAGATTGTGCCGGAAAAAGGCATCGTAGGAGATGGAGCCACGCTTTTAGGGGGGTGACACTTGCAAACGGGTCATCTGCTGGAGGTGGCCTCTTTGGCCATGGGTTTGACCCAGAATTGGCCCTGACGGAAGTTTCTGGAACGAAAGCATTGCCTTTTCCGTCCCTTCAGTGGTAGCTGGAGCAGCCCGAGCGTCTGACCCTGCCCGGAGCCCGCCGTCGGGTCTCTGGCCGCCCAGGGGTGGTGTCGCGCGTCCCTTTTCCACCCTCCTGGAGCAAGCCCGGGGCGCAGCTGCGGGGGACATGTGAAGGGGGCGGATGCTGTTGCTGCCAGGGGCTCTCCCTGTGCGTGTTACAGGAGTTACGTGGGCTGCAGCCCCTGGAAACTAAAGTGGGACATTTTGCCTCTTAACGGCTACAGGTTTGAAAGCGGGCGTTGGATTGTTGAGGGGTTTTGTGGTTTGTGTGTGTGGGGGGGGGTTGTAATATCCTTTGAGGTAGCAAGCACCCTATGGTCCAAAGTTGCAGGAGGGTGGGGAGAGTGGGTCGCTCTCACCCTCTCTGTTCCGTCTCTTTCAAATTGAAAACACTTCTCTGGTTTCCTCCTTTGGGCGGTAGTTTTGGAGGCTGTAATGAAATCGCACTTTCTCTAGACATGGTAATTAAGGTGACTGTTTCCTCCGCAGATGTGCCCTGCCCTTTGCACCTCCGGACCAGCGCTTTTTTTGGAATCCCGTCTAAACTGTAGAACCTTAGCCTTGAGACTGTTTAGCAGAAAGTGGCCATTTTCCCTGTTGGCCCAGGCTCCCGGTTTCCTCTCTGAGGCTTTAAAAGCTGAGTAGCAGGGCCTCGTGGGACGTGTCTCGGTCTAGCTAATTACCCCCAAGCCTGGGTCATCTCCCTTCCTTTCAGGGACCAAGAGAGAGCCATTGCCCACTGTCTGTCCTGACAGCCTGCCTCTCTAATGACTTGTTTACGTATTTCTCTCCAGTTGGTTGGGAGAGGCTCCAGGGCTGCCGCTGACCCCTAGAGGAGCACAGGGTGTTTGGGGACGGGGAGGTTGCTGGGGCCTGGCTCCAGCTGGGTTGGTTATGTACTGCATCAGTGACTAGCTCCTTGAAATATCTGTTGCATTCAGTCTTAGTCATCACCAAGTGTCAGCTTTTTAATGAGGGCCATCCGGGTGGAGAGCCACTGGGACATGTGTGCTTTCACTGCCTGCTTTTACTGTGCCTGTTCAAATGCCCATTTTGTAGGCATTTTCATGAGTGGGATTTGGGCCAGAGTGGGCACCACTAATTTTGGTTCCGAAGTAGACAGCCTTGGGTCCTTCTTTTCCTTTGGCCTCTGGCCACAAAGGATGTTAGAAATTTACAAAAGAATAGCAAGTGAAGCAAAAGCACAGGCAGAAATGGAGTTAGGAGCATGGCAGATGCTATTATTGTCCCACCTGTCTTGAGGGAGATTAGAGTCCATCCAGGCATCCCTACGCCTGAGCTGGCTTTAGCCCTGTTGGACTCCAGAGGGCAGGAAGAGCGTGTTAAACATGGAGTAGGCAGACTCCAGCCATGGTGACCCAAGGAAAATCCATGGGTTTTTGCTTTTAGTTGTATGCTTTGTGTTTGGGGTGTTGTCCTGAAAAAGGGCTCCTAAAATAGGAGATTTGCTCCTGTGAGCTTCGGCTGTTAGCAGCCAGCTTCTCCAAACACGCTCTTCTTTGCCTCCATTTTTTAAATCTTTTCATCAAAATGGCTGTTAGGTAGAGCTTCCTGGGAAAGTTTGAGCCTGTTGCTGCTGGAGGCAAAGGAGGTAGAATTGATTCAAATATCTTGTTCTGAAAAAGCCTCATCCCTTGAGATGAGTTTAATTTCCTCTTGGGAAATTTGTCTTGCATTTGCTTTCTAAGAGCTTTGTCCAAGGTCTGAACGCACCAGGGACTCGTGGGAGTCCAGATGTGGAGCTTTAGAGAAGACTCTGGTGTTTCCAGAGAGGATTAAGTGCCAGACTTGGGCTAGGATATTTGCTTTCCCCCCTAAGGTTGCATCTACCTGAAGCAGAGATTCTCTCCTCACCACCACTCCTTGTAATTAAAGAAGATATATTTGGTCCTCCCCACCCCCCAAGTAAATAGTTGTCACCTGGGTGAACAACTCCACGAAAAGGGTGGTGGTCTACCAGTCCATTTTGTCTTCAAAAGCAACGTTTCCCAGAGTATGGTGGAGCAGTTAGTGTTTCACTTATTACTATTTTTTGGTATACCTCACTCCTGAGGACATTTGGATACCTTTTTTCTTTCCTTTTTTTTTTT